CAGGGTTGGCAAATTTGTCCATTGTCATCAATGGAGCTCCGGTCCATTGACTCAAAAAATTAACTCCATTGAAGATATATTTTTTCAATGGACCAATGGACAATAGACTATATTGATTTATATAATTTTAATAGTAAAAAAAAAAAAAAAAAATTATTATTATAGACTTTGCAAACTAATTAAACTTGAATAGTAATTCTTTAATTGTCGAATTGTATGTGATATGAATTACCGGATTGAATAAAGCAAGAATAGGTTATAATCGATAACATTGTATAATTTTAATGCATGTTGATAAGGGTCAACGGATCAAAAAGAAAGGAAAGAACTGGTCAGGGTCACACGCCGTGCGTCACAACCCCACTCTCAAATCACGGGACAGAGGGCATGGGTCGGGATCAAAGAATGGATCAATCAGTTAAATTGCATGAATTAACACGCAACCAGATACGTAACAGAAAAGCCACCGACCACAATCGATATATAAAGAACCGAAAACAAGATGCTTCGACACCCTTTCCTACTTCGACACATTAGTCTTCGGCAAACAAATTTCTCAACCCAACCTCTCCCACCACATATTGTAGTCTCCTGATTCTGCCATTTTCCTATTTAACAGCCAGCCTGCTTCGAGCAGGCGGGAAACCACCAGCTGATGCTGCTTCTCGCTCATTCTACTTCTCGCTTGTTCTACTGTTACGATGATACCTGGCGCAATCTCACTTGCTAATTTTCTGGGAGCATATCATCGTTTCAGTTCGATTTACTTAGCTAAATTTACTTAGCTAAAATTACTTATAATGTCATAATGTATTCTGCGGACTTCATGTCCTTTAATTGAATTTATTTCCGGCACCTTTGGCTAGCCGGCATTTATCCAACACATAACCAGTCGTACTGATGCTTTTTGTATTTATTACTACAGACTTACAATATGCATAATCTAAAGGATAATCGCATATAACAATAAAAGGTTCGATCTGTAAGATCGAATCTACATTTTGATTTTTCTTTTAACCAGAATCAAAGTAACGATGCTGTTGAACCTTAAATAAAGATTAGGTAGTTGTTATTAAAGATATGATTTGGTGTATTAGAGAAGGAACAGAGAAAAGAACGAAAGTGGATGCATATATATAGCTAAACTCTAAGCAGTTATTATGTATAAAGCGCATTTACTTGACACTATGTTAATAACTTAATATTATTTGCGTGGTTAGTAAAGAAAAAATCAATATTTATGTTTTATATAAATATTTCACACACAATATAAGAATTTAATCTTTATTGTAAAAACATATTTATAGTAATATAATATTTATAAGTTATAAATAAATTCTGGATCAGGAATATTATCTTTGAACAAAGTTTCTAGCTTCCACTTTGCATCATTGTTGATAGCCGGATGATCTGTATCACAAATAATTCGATCTACATTATCTTCACCTACGGTAAGATCAATTTCATCCTCTTCTTCTTCAGAGATCATATTAACCCACTGTTGTATTATTTTATTCCAATTATCAATACTAATAACTTCATTTTCTTCATTAACTTCTTCTGCTTCATCATCCGAATCATTATCCACTATAAACACATCATCGCTTTCATTTTCTTTGAGTATTGGTAAGGCAACATTATTTTGCTTGTACTGCTTTATTGATAATTCAATTTCTTTCAAACGGTTATGTCGGTTCATAGTAGCACGAAGCTGACTCATATGAAGCACTTTTTGAGGCTAAAATTTTTAAAAATTAATGGATCTAAATATTAACAATTAAAAATTTAAATAAATTTAATCAAACCTTTAAGCGAGATCGTGACTTATTATGCAACCAACCCATGCATGAGAAAAGCCTTTCAACGGAGGCAGAGTTAACACAAATTCCGAAGATATGGCATGCTACTTTACCTAATTCTTTTGCTGAAGTAGTACAATATTCCCAGTAACCCATAATATTATTATTAAACTGGTTGGTAACACGTTCAGTAAATGGCTTTTCTCCTTTTCGATATTTTTCAAGTTCAGGTAAAAGAGTATGAGGTTCATTATCAAACCAGGCACAATAATAGTATATTAGCCAATCACTAAGTTGAAAATAAAGCTGTTCATTTATAGAGCTAAATACTGATATGCCGTATTTAGGATGGAGTAAAAATGAAAGGAGTAATAATGGCTGTTCCCAGGAATTCCATCTGTGCTCTAAACGCTTAATCATATTAGTAGCAAAATTTTGGTTTGAATAACCTTTATATAATTTTATAAGATAGGAAACACAATGAACAACTTCATATAATCGTGCTTTATCACATTGTAGCTTGTTAAGACATGCACAATATGGAAGAAGAAGCTGAGAAAGTTCTTGAAGTTGTGACCACCATAGCTCGTTATTAATAATTTTGCATATATTGTCAGGCAAGTAAAGAGCTGAAGATTTATTACTTGATATCGTTTCTGAGAATTCAAATTTTGCAACAAGCGTCTATAATATATAAATTTATATATAAATTAATATTATAGCATTTATAAAAGAAAGTAATATTCTAATTATCCTTAACTATTTTAATTTTTTTAGATGTAATTAGAATATGATTAATATATCTATTCTAATTATACCTGAAGAATTAAAATAGTTAAATTAAGCATTTCGATATAATTGATATAATTAAAGTAAGTAAAAAAATAAATATAAAAACTTATACTTTTAATGCACTTTTTGATTTAAGTAAAGAGTTAACACAGTAATAAAAGCTATTCCATCGTGTTTCTACAGGATTCGCCAATGAAATAAAATGCTTATACAAAGAATACTGCTCATCACGAAGCTTACTAATAAAATAAGAATGGTTAGCATTTTTAAAATAAGCTACAACCGTAATTGCTGACTTCATTGCTATATTAAAATCATCGGATTCCTTGAAAATTTCTCCCATACATAAATTAAATTGATGTGCATAACACGGTAAAAAAATTTTGTTGGGATATTTTAATCTAAGTCTACGTCTATAATTAAAAAAAAGTATTAATATATTTCTAATATATATTTATTTATAGAATAGTTTAATATTACCTCGAAGCAGCATAAGCTGCATCACTGTCTGTTACAAGCCCGTTAATTTTTATTTCTAATGCATCAATTTCTCTAAATATTTCTTCAGTCATTTCCATTATGTCTTCATATTTTTTTCTTCGTCCACTAATATCAATTACATTCCATACTAACGTTTCACCATTAGACATTATTAGTACTGAGCCTAAGATTTCTTGATTTATTACATTTTTCCAACCGTCAAAAGCAATCATAATTCCATGTGAGTCACTACGTGCTTTATCTTGTATATAAGATTTGTTTGTTTCAGTTGCAGACTTTAAAATACGTCCAGCTAACTGTTTTCTGCTAGGTAACACTAAGTGAGGATTCAACCAACGATAATGCTCGATGACACTTTTATCTTCTACCCACCGAAATGACCAACCATTTGTTATTGTAATATTTAAAATTTGATCTTCAAATTGAGCTTGTTCTAAAAAGGTTGGCGTACGAGCAAGAAAATGGTCTATTTTTTTACTTTCAACTTTTGAGGTAGTTAAACTCTTATTTTCATCAGAAGATTCTAAATTAAATAATATTTGTTTGAATTATTATAAAATAACAGAATATTATAATACTAAAATATATAATTTACCGTCTTCATAATCCAATCGTAACTTCTTTGTTGAAGATTCTTCAGATTCTTCTTTATTCAAAATATTATCGACTTGTTCTTTTCCACCAACTTTACGCATAAAATATATGCACTTTTTAAGGTGATTTTTTACTAATTTTTTTCTATTAACGATTTTAACTTTTTCTGAATTTATTTCGTGACAGGCCAAGCAATAGCAATATTTATCATTGGGCTTTTGTGGATTGACATATTCATCAGTAGTAATAATATACTCTGTAAGATAATGTCTACCTTTTCCTCCACCATGCTTTTTTGGCTGAGATGTAGTTGAACTAGCTAACATCATAGCTGGAAATGGATTCATAACGATAATAAACCAATAAATTTTGTTATAGATAAAAATTATGCAACTTTATTCGAAAAAACTCATGTAGTAAATATGAAATACTAAAAAAAAGGTAAGAAAATTCTTCTCGAATTATAAAAACTTGAGACGAAAATATTTTTATTAATTAAATTTTTATGCTTTTATAATTTTTATACAATCTCTTTTTATGTTCTATCTGATCGATTTTATAATGCGAATTCAATAAAGAATCTTCGATTTTTTATTAATTGGAAGCTTGGAGGCTTTAAAAAAGGCAGCTTTTACTAATTTTTCTTTTTTTCACTTGATTTATTTATACTAACAATTTATTTGCATTTTTTTCGCATGAATTCGAAGGTTATACTTCTTTGCATACTGTAGTTTTTAGTGCTGCCTTACTTATTTTGGTATTATTACTCTCTTTGTGTTCAGAATCTGGACGCGACTATGAATTCTATTACTTTACATTTTAGGTTAGTTGTTTCAGATCAATTTGATATTGAGAATACGGGAAGATTATACATTCTGTATTCTTTTTAATATAGAGATAAGATTAGTATTATCATAAAATCACACAGAGCTGGTACTTACTAAACATCTTTTTGCTGGCTTGATTAATTGATAATCAGTGATCTTCAAAGGAATAGCAAAAGGCTTTAACGAAGAATTTGTTCGTTAGCTGCGTTTGATCATTGTTAATTTATTTTGACATTTGATCATCGCTCTACATTTTCCTCTTAATCACTGAATATTTTATCACATACACTTGCATGATTATATAATATCGATTAAAGACCAAATATGTAATCTGATTAAACATGTAACATGTGAAGCATCGATAATTCTTTGAAATAAAACTTGATTCTTATTTCTAGATTTAAATATATCTAGTGACTGTAATCTTGATTAAAACTTGAGGCTGCTATCAATCGTTTAGTACTTTAAATGGATTTATAAAATAATTACATTGTGATTTTTGATTAAATTGATTAAATCGCATTTATAGTGCTAACTTTATAAGGATTATAATTATCGCAAACTGTAACGGTTAATTGCTAATCGTCATAATTTATAATCGATCTGAGGCTAATTTTTAATTATTAATACTGTAAGACTAGGTGG